CTTTGTGGAATTTACTCAACCCATAAGTCTTCACTTAAAAAAGATGATGAATAGGTTTGTTTTTTGTGAAGTTAGTTTCCATCACAGACTGACTTCATCTAAAGAACGATTGGAAATCTGTGGGGAATGAAACTTAATACACCAAAGGTAACAAGTGCAGAAGAATGTACGTGAATAAAAGTTAATCCGCTTTTTTTATTCTACTGGCACTTCAAATAAATATCTAAACGCTTTAGTATATCTGGTATGTAACTAACAATAGAATCCAAGAAACGTATCTCATTCTATTTGAAATTTGTCAGTTAAATTTACCTACGTTCGAGAGTTGAAGTTCACACTGTTATTCAAGTCCAATAACTTTCGCTTCAAATAACGTTATCATTTAAACCACTGAGACCGGATGATCACCAACGTCTTTGGCTAAGATGGTATTAGTAAGAGTTTATACCTTCCCCTTGGTGATGTTTGGCGCTAAAACCAATCAGTCCCTGTTGTTATATACGCATCATGACAGGTTTGTCACGATAGAGCTTTTAGTCACAAGTTTTTAGTACAATTGGTATTTGAACAATAGTTCAGAAAGATTTCTTTTTATTCAGTTCAATATTTTAGAAAAATGAAATGTAGGCTTTCTTCTTTGCAACATATATATATATACAACTACCCTCCATTCCCAGACAGTGTGAATGGAACATTGAAGTAGGTCCCCCAACTCTTGCTGAAGTTCAAAAGGCTATAGTTAATCTGAAACGAGGAAGGGCAGCTGGTCCAGAGGTCTTTAAGGATGGTGGTCCCATTTTAGCGATTAGGTTGACTAATATTTTAGCTAAGATCTGGGAGTTGGATGTAATCCCATCTGATTGGTCGCAATCACTTATTGTCCCGACATATACGAAGGGATCAAAATCATCCGGTGATAGCCATAGAGGGATTAGTTTGACTAATATAGCATCTAAAATACTAGCCTCGACAATTATCAGACGCCTAACTAAGACTCGTAAACTGCAAACATGAGAGAATGAAGCTGGCTTCAGACCTGGTCGTGGCTGCATCGACCACGTACTCACCATTACTCAGGTTCTAGAACACAGGCATGCTTATCGGCGTCCGACGATGGTGGTCTTTCTTGACTTAAAAGCAGCATTTGACTCTGTAGAGCGAGAGGTTCTATGGCAGTGTCCGTCACTGAAAGGTGTACCTCAGAAGTACATAAACCTTGTGAAGGCTCTCTACTCGAACATTACTAGTCGAGTCAGAGCTTATGGCGAGCTGTCATCTGCTTTTGCAACCTCAAGTGGTGTACGTCAAGACTGTACACTTTCTCCATTTTTGTTCAACTTCATCATAGACATACTGATGGAAATAACGTTCTCGTCTACTGAGTTCTGTGGCATTAATCTCCTTCCAGGAGGTCCACTTATCGACTTGGAATACGCAGATGGCATAGTCCTGTTTGGTGAAGACGCTGATAAAATGCAGAATCTTTTAGTAGCACTGAGCAGAAATCCCAAAATGTTTGGGATGCGCTTCTCTCCCTCTAAATGCAAGTTGTTGCTTCAGGACTGGTCTGCGTCAATACCTGAACTAAAGATAGGGAGTGAAGTTGTCGAATGAGTTGAAAACTTCATTTATCTTGGAAGAATGATCAGCCCTAATGGGTTGGTGTCTGACGAAATCTCAGCACAGATTCGAAAAGCTCATTTGGCGTTTGCCAACTGACGTCACCTATGGCCAAGGTGAGATATCCGTCTATCAATTAAGGGACGAGTATACTGCGCGGCAGTCCGTTCTGTTTTACTTTTCGGCTGCAAAGCATGGCCATCAAGAGTAGAAGATACTCGTAAGTTACTAATATTTGACCACAGATGCCTTAGAAATATTGGTCGCATCTGCTTGGATCATCGGGTAAGTAATAGTGAGGTTAGACGCAGGGTATTAGGGAATGATGGTAAATCAGTCGATGAGGTTGTGAATCTTCATCGACTGAGATGGTTGAGTCACGTGTTACGTATGCCTGAACACCGATTACCACGACGTGCAATGCTAACCGGTGTTGGAGATGGTTGGAAGAAAGTTAGGGGCGGCCAAACCAAAACGTGGCATCAGTGCTTGAAGACACTAACCTCTAGTCTGAGCCATGTTGGTAGATGCAGACTCCTTGGTTGGGGTCTGCGTGACTATCGTAACCAATGGTTGGATATTCTTGGTGACATGGCTCAGAATCGATCACAATGGCGTCGGTGTATACACTCTTTAACTATGAGACCAAAGTTATTTCACATCTTTCTTTCTGTACTACATCCTTACATAAAATCATTCCTTTATATATTACACCATTGAGTTAAATGCTTCTATGAATCCGGTGTTCGCCTCGCTGTGCTAATGAGGTGTGGCAACTTGGACCGATGCATGTGTGTGCCTGGTCCTACGTTGTAACTGAGTGAATGACTACTTAGGATATTAAACATCAGCTCATTATTCATTACGGCTGAGTTAAACTACCTACTTACGATTCACGAGGCAACATAATATCAAAACAGCTGAGTAATTTCAGTAAAAAAAATTGTCAGTCAAATGTGAAAGTACTTGTTATTCCTACAAAGAATGAAGTAGCGACAATGAGTCAATCAGCAACCTCTAACAGCATTAAAGACCCCTGTATTCATAATCAGTGTTCCTCCTCAATTCCTATTCCTTTCTTAGCGACAATAATCATCTTTCTAGTCAATCTAAATAATTAACAACCGAAAACAAAACTAAAATGTCAGTTACTTTCATAGGTATTAATAATATATACTTGTTTTTACATTATTTATTTATCTATTTAAACACATAAACATTGGTACAAGAAGGCACCAAGTAGATATACGCCACATGAATCATTCGATTTGTGTGAGGGCTGTGATACTGCCCGGGTGCCCAAACCGAAGAAGGTGGTTTTCTTTGGGGGCCACACCCCGAGCCTTTGACCAAAGGTCTAACCCATAAGGCAGTGGAGCATCGTAACGAGATGCAGTCACATGGTAGCCAGTGACCAACGATTGGTTCATACGCCATTTGTTCCCGCAGGATACTGGAGCCCAGGTGTACCATTGGTTTGGAATCCGGTTAAAGCGCCGGACATCCGCTTTTCGTCCTCTTAATTTCGTAAACAGCACCCCCGCCACGAGTAGGCAGTGAGTAGGACATCTCTGGCAGAGGCTGTATACGTGTGCCCGTGTGAGAGAATTACGAGGGGCAGGACCGGCCCACCCCACTCCCGGCCATACTAGGGCATTTGGGGGCGTTTTTACATATATATTATTCGGAGTAATTAAAATTTCGTACCCATTAGCCACAGTTTGAAGCTTTTTAAGTGTGGAAATAATTTTAAGAGGCCACCTATAATGACTAACGAAATAGTATTTATTGTACCTTCCATATCAGTGTAACAATTAGGATTCAGCTCTACAGACAAAAAACTGTCAAATTCTAAGATAAATTCTAAATTTGTCTTCTCGTTTAGTGAAAAGATTGTCATAATGTAAGAAAAATACAGCATCTGTTCTCACATTCTTCGATTCTTTTCATATATGTTAGCACAATTATATGAAAATTAGGTATAAATCAAACACGACAGTTCTTACACTGGCTAAAATAACCAGATAACCAAGGTTCACTATTACCTTAGTCAATCTCAGTCCGCATTCGTTTCCAATCATTTTGATATATATTTACAAACCTAAAAATCACTTTGAATAACGCATAAACAAAAATGGTTTGATGAAAACTTTACATGAGATTGGAATACAAGTGAGTTTTATCACAGTGGTGATAGGAAATTCGCATCTCAATAAGGGTATAATTTTCAGTCTTAGTAAAACCATGTTTCGCTTTAGAAATAGTGAGCTACTTATGAGTAGCTTAACTCTAAATCGGGCAAAATATAAAGGAACTAAATGGACCTAATTTTCCTTTCTTAATATATTGTACAACTTCACAAGTACTAAGACTTTGGATTTAGGTCATGACCACGTTCCATGAACCGATAACTCACTAGTTCTATGAAACTAGCCCGAATATGTTGCAACTAAAAAAGAGTAATGTGGAGGACAGATGAAAGGTACTAGGTAGAGATAGAAAGCTGGTTGATGAAGCTGTGTTACGCACGACTAGTTACTGTCAACCGTGATGCATTATTTATCATAGCATGGGTGTATTTTATGAAAACAAGGGTATATGAGGGGGAGTCAAATAATTGACTGTCTGTCTGCGGAAGTGAAGGTTAATTAGTCTGTGAAATCCTTTAGTAGTATACTGTTAGTTTAAGAGTGATTCAACAATCACAAATAATGGGAATAATACATACAGGTGTGGGATGAGAGTCAACAATTATAAATGATCTCGGGAGCAACTGAAGCTTACACAAGATTGACCAAACTTGCATTTACTTACGAATAGCAGTTTTTAATAATCGAGAAAATAACACTAAACTTAGATTTCTTTAACCAATGAGTAAATCAGTCATATTTTTGAACATCAAAAATAAATACATGTAAAGCAATAATATATTTTTATACATTACAAAACATATTAATGACAAGCATGCGCACAAAAGAGATCAACTAAAAATGAAGCCGGCAAATAAACTATTTTGATTCATATACAAATAAACGATTAAAAAGTATAAAAAATGAAAATAAACGGATAGCTCGAGAATAAAATATAGACGAAATTGTTTGTAAGATAAAAACAAAATAAGCGCTAGAATAGGCACTTGTAAAATGTACGACCTTCAACAAATTTTATTGACACACTTGATTAATCAAGTGTTTTTGAAAGTTTGTGTTGATTAACAAGAACATATGAATTAACAGTGTTTATGCAATAGAGGTAATAACGTATAATAACTGATAGAAACTATGAACCAAGAAAACGTTAGACTTTTAGAAGAAAAAGATCCTTATGATATTTAACAGACAATCGGTTGTCGGATTACTTCACTGACAGATTTCACATTGTTATAACTCATCATGACCAATTAGGATTTCCCCAAAATTGGTTGCCTGGCTACCAACAAATAAGTCGTAACGATTTAGTATTTCGTTTTTGCTGAGTTTTCCATCCTAAATAATATTAACAGAAATTTTAAAAAATACGCGATATATATTTGACAAAATAAAAGTTTGAGTAAAATTTGTTTCTACCGAGAACAAATTAGATCGATATGTATCCCATACACAAAATGATAGTTGGTAACCATTGTAAATGACGGGGATGGTCATAATTGTACAAGTCTATATTGCTGACACTAGCATAAAGAAGGCTTTCTCGAAAAGGATAACATACTATTTATCATATGTTATTCGAATGAAAATACTTCTCTAGATCCGGAAATTTTCAGAGTTCAATATTAAACTAATTTTTTGGTTGGAAAATACAAGGTTACGATTAGCATGGAAAACAATTAAGAGCCATCTTACCTTTTAAGTCTCTCGATATAAATAGCAACAAAAACCTACAATGGCAAACTGACAAGTATTATAAAGACGCTAGTCATATCTGAGATCATATTTACGAAAAATTACGAAGGCACAATAATCAACATAAGCTCTACCTGATCTGCATCTGATTCTGAGAATAAATGGGTTACTTCTGCTTGGACATGATTATAATCTTCAGGTACGATCCATTTGCCGACCTCATCCAGATCCAGTTTTCCATCCCCATTAATATCGCGTCGTTTGGCAAATTCCTCTCTTTCAGTTTTAACCCATTCAGGCTCCGTTTCATTAGGTGAATTTGGAGACCACAGATCTTCTACAAGACAAATTCCCAATAAACATCGAATAAAGATACTTAGAGTACCAATAAAAAATCAATGATGAAGCGTAAAACTTCACTAACTCTTCAAGCTAATTTACCAGTAGTCAGATGAATGAAAAAATACTGTTTGAAGGCCAAAGTCCTCAAGTATTTAATCAGTGTGAGAGAATTAATTCTACTTGACATTAAAGTTTGACTTAAATATTCCCATTTTAGAATCAACTGGATAATTTTTTGCCCCATTATGTGCTCAACTAGTTTCTGTACCTTCTGCGACAATCTGTAGACTCAACGAGTATTTTAGTTGACTACCCGCCCATATAAAACTTCAGTATTAAAGATGATTAACAGTGGAAATACCTAATTGTTCCGTTATTACTAACGAATAACCTTTTAGTGGTAAAGCCCGTGATAATCTCGACTGATCACAATATTAGTCTGTCCATTGGTCGAAATAGGTAGTAAAATATTTAAGAATCGGGAAATAAACCATGGATAATACGTAAGAACTTTCGTCTAAATTTGATCGAATAGTTTCACAGCACTTGTATTCGATCGCTGGTTTTGTTAGCGATCCTACCCAGTTGTACCACAATTTAAACCAAGAGATAGAGACTCCATAAACCAGTATTACATATAAACCTGATAACCCTTAGCCTTCTTACACCTAGTTCCACTACTATCAGGGGCGGACAAAGTCGAAAGCAATATAGAAACTAGTAAATATATGCATCAGTCCACATTGTCACGCCACGGCACGTGAACATAACGATATATATATCAACGTAGTGAAAGTAGTAATATCAGTGTTAGCAAAGCAAATTAAGCATAGAGAATGTGATTCGAGAACTAGTTTGCGGGAATGAAAAATAAAAAATAATTTTGGAACTCAGAACTTAAGGAGAGACAAAGAATGAGTGTATGTGCACCACTGAGGCTGATTGTAACCCAATTATTAGCTACAATAGCGCGGACCTGAACTACATGATCAGCACCCACTAACATAACTAACTAAAAATAACTTCATGGACCGGTATCATGAATTGGTTACCTATATTTTCCCCTCAATCTGCTACATCAAGAAATATCGAGTGTCAAAGTAAGAGGTGATTGAATGCAAGTAGTCCCGACCACGTCGGTTGGTGAGGATCCACTATCTTATCAGTCGACTTACCATCTTTGCCTGGCACTCTACACGTATATTGTTAGGTAACAGGTGATCCTGTCATATGCTTTAAGGGTACTTCTGGTCAGATACTAGCAATCTACGGATGTTCTTCACTTATAAAGGCCTTGTTGATTTAGAATACCTAGAAAAGGACAAAACCATATAAATCAATGGACATCTACAACCTCATTAACAGGCTTATTCTGCCTTCCTTAAAAGTTATACTATCAGTAGTTTAGCCAAAAATAGAGTTTGAAAATAACAATTCAATTAAAGTTTTGACGACCGAATATTTCCGACATAAAAATCTGAAGAAATACATCAACAGTGAAAACTTACTGATATATTCATCAAGATCAACGAAGCTATCATTATTTTTGTCAATTTCTTCCATTGTTTCCTAGGTTTGTAAAAGCAAATAAAATAGTTGAACCACAAAGTGTCTAAAAACTTAATGTAACTTGAAGTAATTATTTACATTAGAGATGAAACTGAAGCTGTTGTGCTTACTTTTTTAACGATAAACTTGGTATTTGTGTTAGACAATAATAAGTACTCATATATGTTTAATTTCGACCAGATAAATGTGCATATTTGACTGGAAATCACTCTAACTTGTGAGTCTTAAAAGCAATGATTAGTTTGTGGTTCAGTGCTGAGGGACTTCTCACTGAAGTACAAAAATGTCCCAAGCATTTGCAACAAGTTATTCAATAATCATCTCGACTACTACCGATTACAAAATTACATGGATATGTTTAACTTAGCAACATCTACAGCTCTTCCAGGGTTACTGTCGGTCCCTAGCCCTGGTAAAGGAGGAGGGTTGGGCGTGGGGTCAGCAACACCATCCTGTAGAAAACAACCTTGCTAAAAAGTGCTAACCAGAATAAACAATTCAAACTGTTTAAACTCAGCCCTCCAAGTTGAAGGATCTTCATTCAGAATTGTGACGTTTTACGCGCAGGAAGTTGCACTGATGCTGTCTAAAGCACGTGAAAAACCTGTAGGATGGAAATCTCATGGATCTAGAATAATCAAACCTTCTTTGAAAACAAAGACAAAAGGGATCACAATGAATGTTGTTCAGTGCCATGGACCCACCAATGTTAGCAGTTAAGACGGTAAACATCAGTCTAATGAGAGGCTAAAGTCGGCCATAGAGAGGTGCCCAAGAAAGGACCTGACCATCCTGATGGGAGACCTTAACGCCAAGGTCCGAATGGACAATACCAAGTAGGAAGATATAATGAGACAACATGAACTGATTAAGAAAAAGGAATGAGAATGAAGAAAGATTTGCAAATTTATGTGCATTCAACCAAACGGTTGAAGGTGACAGTATTCCCACACAAACTCCTATACGAAGTTACATGGGTCTCACTAAATCACACTACAGAGAATTAGATCGATCATATTTACATCACTAAAACATCCAGAAGATAAATGGAAGAAGCAGGAAAAAAAGCTGACACCTTTAAATCACCACCACCTGGTTGCGACCAATTAGGAACTGAAGCTAAAGAAACACTGGACAACTGGAGACTCAGCATTAAACAAATTCTGTATAGCCTTTCTTCGATATACTGACAAACTCAACGAATTCAAGATAGCTCTCAGAAACGGGTTTCAAGCCTTACATGATCCACTAAAAGAAGAGGGAACTACTATGGAGAACAACTGGGAGAGGATCAGAGAAGCACTAACTTCAACGTGTTAGGAGATTCTAAGCCGTAAGAAGCATCATAAGTAATGCATCTCGGTCGAAACCATTACCAAGACTTAAGAGGGGAAGAAGACAGCAATTAACAGCAGTCGAACAAGCAGAGGAAACCATGTCACAGACCGAGTACACAGAAATAAGCAAGAGGGTGTAGAGGAGCATTACGGCCAACAAGCAGAAATACGTAGAACACTTAGCAATGACAGTGTGAAAAGCAGCAAGAGAAGGAAATACCAAACAACTATATGACACAAGGAAGAAATTAACATGGAAAACCGTCAATACCAAACAGAATTCATACGACGGACTACACTGCTAAGTCGTGCATAGATGACGGCTGACACTCATTCTAAGTGAAGATCTGTGTCAGACAAGGCTGCTTACTCTCGCCCCTTCTCTGTCTTCTCGTGGTCGGGTGGATTGTGAAGAGACCTCCACATTTCAGGTGAAGCATGGAAAACAATGGACAGCTTAGATGCAACTAGACGATTTGGACTTCAAAGATAACCTAGCTTTTCTATCCCATACACACCAACAAATGAGGGTCGAGGTATACGGAGTAGCAGCAGTTTCTGCATCAGTTTATTGATTTTTACTTATTTATAAACAATGTTTTACGCAATGTACTCAATGTTCGTTGACCAGATGCCATCAGCAACAACCTACTGTAGCAGAGAACGAACCAGCTTCCAGTTGAAGAGGAAATTAGAAAACGACGTTTGAAGTGGATAGAACACTAAACAAGTGCTAATTAGGGATCGTGAAGGGGGACAAAAAGAAGAAGACCAAGGAACACGCTACGTTAGAAATTGGAAGTGGATATCAAATGGACGAATAGCAACTGGAAAACATTATTTAGGACTGTGTTTAATGGAAAATCCAGGTTGGGATGTCTACACTTCTCCATGAGGTGTGATAGGCTCAAGTAGGTTCAACATGGATTTTTGGGCTAATAAAAACTATAAATTACGGTCTAAATAGAATTACCATAATCCACAGAGCATACACTGCTCCAAATAACCTGAATATTATGGAATTATTCGCAAGTGAATATAGGGTATTTTTGAGTAAGCGTATGATTGCGGAGTAAATACAAGTTGTTTTTATCGTTTGTCACAGGGCTAACCTTTATAACGACATCTCGCATTTTTGGTTCATGCTCTGGATGAAGGAATGCTAAGTATTCTGTTTTTGATAGCTTCCCATCTCCGTCTGCATCGGCAGCCATCCAACGCCTCTTGTCTTTTTCAGAATAGGCTTTCTTTGTTTCTTCATCTTCATCTGAAAATACAATTAAAATTTTGTTATAAGATAGAAATGAATCTGGACATAATGTATGTTAGATGATAGACCTATAGTGTATAAAATAAATGAGGAGTTAACGTACCCTCTAAATCCCCGTCTTCACCAAACAGCTCGTCAACATGTTTCTCCCATGGCAACTTGTCTTCGTCTAGCAATTCAAAATCTTTCCAAGCGCGATCAACATCATCAAGGAGCATTTTTCTGGATACTTTGTTAATCCATACAGTCATTTCTTCGGAAGTGATTTGACCATCATTATTTAAATCAATTTTGTCCACAATCTCACTGAAAAATAATATTCAGAAACTTAAAACCGTTGAACGATGATAGCTATCAGAAAATCTTGTGTTTCGTGCAATGTTTATTTTTGAAGACCGAGAACGGAGTATCCATCGTTCCTGAGCATGACGGACTAATACTAAGTGCCTGGTCAGAAAATGCGCCCAACCATATGTTTGAAGGGGTTGCTATGAAGCGTAAGTTAGGAACAGTTTTGATTCGACAACCGAAGTGATTCAGCCAGTAAGCCTGCTTGATAATGGCTGTACACTAAACGCGAAATTTGTACACCGGGGCACACTCCAGTATGAGGCCAAATCTCATCACATGATAATGTACATCAATAATGTTACTCGATGAAAATTAGGAAAGTCCTAACTATAAACAATTGTTTACAGCTCTGGTTTTGTCCATAGAAAATGAGACATTTCGATTATAAGACGTTTTGAGTTTATGAATATAACCCGGGACAGGTAAAAGCGACTGACTAGCAAACATGCCAGATAAAAACATGAACGCTAATATTAACAGTAAAATAAGCAAGTCTGCGTAAAACGCTCTTATGTAGGATAAAGAAAAACGTTAAATACCCCAGTTTTTGTTTGCTTTCTTCCGGTGTTAGATCATCGAATCTCTTGGCCTCGTCTCTCCCCAGAAATGCATCATGATCGTATGCTGCACTGTGTTCACCTTCATGGGTATGTGGTGAATTACTTAAGTCCTAGGAAAATATTTCCAGTTGTAAGTAAAATACCTTATCGTTTGTTCGCGGTTTAAATTTCGACTCGACTAACTCAGAACTGAACAGTGTGAACAGTATTACAGCGCAGAACCAACCCAACATCCTCATACTGCACGTTACAATCCCAACACAAATTCCGTACGACACTCAGAAAACTATTTATACTCGAAGTTAATGTCCAATATACAACTGACATGTATTGAACATGAAATGTTCAATAAACTTTTGGTATCCATCACTTTTGATAATTTTTTCATTCACTAAGCAAATAATTATCGCACATAAGTCGCTAATTTTTCACGGAGACCTCAGTTCAATCACCAAAAATTTCGTCATGTATTCTGAGTACATGATGCCGTTGCATCTTTTCTTACCGAACTAAAATAATAGGTAAAGTGAAGTAAAATCTTAAAATGAATCTCTCATCAACGATTCTCCTCTTGCGTTCAGCAGCCGTTCACTAACTAAGTGCGAAAATGCTGGATATTTCACACAAACTGTCTAATGAAATGAAGCTGCTTGTGAAGGGCTGTTGCATTGGTATTGAGCATTGGACAAACAATCCGGTAGTTGGGTCACTGAATGTCGAACAGTTTATCGGCCCCCGACAATGTCAAAGACAACTAACGCGTATCAGTTAATCGCATTCCATGAACTTGCATGTGCGGTGGTGGTCGCACCATTTTCTCTGTACCCATTCTTACTATTATATTTCCGTAATAACATCCTTTGTGTTTTACGGTATCAAAGCAACCATATTACCTTGATATGACGGAGGGATAATCCACGTTAGGTGCTGAGTGAAGGGTACAACTCTGAAGTTAGCTATTGGTCACAACACTCCCATTTAACTCTAATAGGTCCCCAATCATACAGCATAGATCATTTACATTAGTGATCTACACGCCATAAATTCACGAACATGTATCTTGCTCCCATGGAGCTTACTTATAACTTCTAGTTTACTACAGGTAGTCGGAGGCGTATGACTATATTTTTATTCATCTTTCAGCTAACCCTGATATTTTTAGCATCTAAATTACTAACATCTTTTGTTCTGGCAAAAAGTTATCTAATTATTTCGTTCGACGAACCAATACTCCGATAAGGTGGTTTTTATTTTTAACTCTGAAGACCACCTAGTTCAATCTATCAGCTTTCATGATCTAGTTAAAGAAGAGTAACATATTATTTGGAGCTCGAAGCTACGTTACGTACCCAATGTATAATTAATAAATCGACCACGTTTTTGCGATAAACAATTTTTCAGGTTAATACCCTGACAAATATTCGAGATTCCACCATATCGTTCTATTTTATGACCTAGTCAACCAAAGACACACTCAGGCATCCTTGCCGTTTCATAAACTCGTGGTGTGGACTACGCGCTAGTCAAATTAACTCTCTCAGGTTCATCTATTTACATCCTTGGACAAAAAGGCTATTGACTTCAAGTGGTACTGATTTTCAAGTCAGCGACCTACTAATGTATACAAACAATCAGTTTACAATGCAAGATCGGTATCTTCGTCGTCGGATTCTTAGGTGGAACTATGTTACTGACTAATCTCCAGAGTCATAGATTTTGTGTGATAATCTAGAGCCAGCCGGAGTAGTCGTATGATCTAAGGTGACAAGACAATATTTTTCTTAATATCGGATAATTTGATTCCTAGAGAAAAGAAGTATTGAGTTTCCATACCAGTTAACGTTTGTACTCCTACTGTGAACACAGGCTCCTCGGATAATCACAAACAGCCTATTGTGCTTTAGGGGACAAGCAGCATATTTGTGTATTCAGGCAACATCATATAGGTGTCTAGAAGCCAATAAAACTGTGAAAAAGGTGTAGTGACTCTTTTATCACGAGAACACGACTGGTTTATTGAAAACAATCATTATTATAACCAATTGTGCCAGTGACTGTTTAATGTGCTCTTTGTTTAACTGTGCTAAAAAATATCCATTATTCTTACACTTTGATTTTGACCTCGCGCGAATTCGGTTACACTCTGTAACCAAGCTTGTATCCTGGCACGATATCGGTATTCTTTCAATACCCCGAGATTGCCAGCAAATATATCTCGACTTGGTCCATTAATTGCCTTCTGATATTTGGCTTCCGCGGGATTATGTGGATATCCAGGCGCGTGTTTCTCTGTAGCGGTGTTCGTAGTTGATCGCGACTCGACGCCACGCTACAAAGGTTATGAACTTAGTTAGAAATCTTTATGTATTACAAGTGGACTGTCCTGGTATTTGATGTCCCCATTACGTCACGTATAGCATTTAATTAAACTATTCATTTTCACAACCGGGTTTCATATCAAAAGTTGGAATTTTTCTCCGAGTTTCCCCTATCTATTTGATTTGTGCTAATAGGTTTCCCTTTATTGAACTTGGTTACCTAATCTGACAAAACAGGCTACGTGACTTCTTTTGTGCTTTTGAAGTCCGACAGCCTGTGGTCGTATGTTCTTCAAAAGTAGCTGAGATAAAGCCTTTAAGTGGTTCAAAAACGAAGACGGCTGTAAACCACTCGACAAATCATGGCCATATTTGTGGTTATTCTTTCATCTTTCTCAGTTAAAATTCAAATCCATTAATATAAATCAAGTACGTCTAATCATCGATCCAAGCACTTTTGTCCTCTCTACCGCGAACTTCTTACATAAAAGTGATAACCACTTTTAGGCATCAGTAAAGTTTAAACTTTTTAACTGAGGTTCTATGTATGTATAGATCAATTCAAATAGCTCATTCTTCATGCTACACAGAGTCTGAAGAAGCAACCATATTATAGCATTCATTTTATAAGATACATGACAACAGTGGAAACAAATGCTTACTGTGCCGCATAATCTAGAATCTAAACCCTATTCCTTGGTGAAAAATATGAAATCAAAAGCGACTCGTAAGCCGAAAGTAAATGTTTACTTGCAAGCTCATAGGTTGTTGGCATCCTCATGGTTTGGATTGTCCTTGAAACTGCAGGATAATTTGGATTGGAACACCTCATTGCCTTAGTGATTTCAAAAGGTTCGGTATTTGACAGACTTTGATTGTCTTTGAGATGCCGGACGTTGTAAGTAAAACCTAGAGTCCCACTTGGTGACAGTAAGGTGAACTTGTACCCGTTAATTTTTAGAACAATGAAGTATGAGGTGTGACTGGTCTTAGAACATGAATCCAGTGTATTTAATGACAAGAGGTCCTGTTTTTGTAAAGTTGTGCATCAATTTGTCGTCACTTTCATACGTTTTAGAAAAAAAATGGTGAGCTGTTCTTTCTACCAAACGCAATAACTTGTGCGTATTTGTTGAATGTTTTCCTAATTGGTTAGCGGTAGAGAATATCACATGTGAGAATCCATATTTTTTAGGCTTCATCCTCTCAACTTATGTCTGCCTTCAGATGACATTAGATCGGTCTTCATGTCACAAATATTGATTGTGCGTTGTAGCTATAGTTATTATCACACATTTTTTGGATATCAGCCAGCTTTAAACACGAGATGGACAGTTAATGAGGGATTACAACCTAGGTACAGAGGTTAGTCCATAAAACTTTCTTATGAAGAAATTGGTGTGTGGTCAAAGTATTGTGCATATTAATGTGCAGGTATTTGTTGGGTGAAGTTAAAGTTTGGTATCAAGAGATGTGACACTGATAAAAGATAAGTTCTAGGTTTTTCTGAGGTATGATGAGGTTATTTTTGGAATCGCTACTTCTCCACTCTGTAGTTGATTTTGGTTATTAAACGTTAATTTTCGTATTCTATTTGCTTGTTACTCACAATTCATCACAATTGCCGTAGTCAAATATAGGTTATTTCCCTCTAGCAGCAAGAGTGTTAGATTTACTATAATCGCTTTTGTACAATCAGAGAAAAATCAAAGTTATGAAAAGACACCAATAATTAGTGTAAGATCCAAACTACGGTTGGACTGATGGACAGCTGTCTGGATGAGTTAGATACGCTCCCTCGCCCGTTTGAAACCAAAACAAAGTAATTGGGTACGATGACGGTTCTATAATTTATCATGAATTTAAGTATACATTATTACCTAAACAAATATAACCACTCAGCTATCCAACCAATAATTGTTCAATTGATTAAATCTAAATTACAATAAATAAGAAAGGTGATAAAGGATGCAAGGAAATTACCAATCACAACAAATAAATGTTATTCTATCCTGTCTGGATAGACCACGTACAGATTCGTTCAAAAGGTAATAATTGGTCGCTCTATAACACAGTGTGTTTTCAATTCTGGAAGAGTGCTTCACCTCACAACCAAATTGCACAATTCCAGTCAACACAAGTAAAGCAATCAAAAGCAGTAACAAACCAATATGGCTGACTCCAAGACTTAGTATAAAGTAAAACAACATAAGTGCAGATCGGGAAGAAACACGAGGAATTAGTGAAGGTGAAGTAAGAACAAAAACCACAGTAAAATACAAATATTAACAATTCAAATGTAATCAAAAACTAATAATGTACAATGAAAGGGATCAATAGAAAAAAGGTCAAGTATGCACATGGAGGGATTTTCACAAACACACAAAACATTCAAAATGGATCTTACAATTAGGCTTAATTCAAAGTACTCTTCGAATTATAACTTAAATAATATATTTTGGCACTAAATGACTCCTAAATATAATTTATCATGGGCAAGGGTGTCAATACCCAATACAGGAGGAAGTGAAAGCGTTTAACTGATGATTAACTGTTACATTGAATACTTACATTTTCACCGTTTTGGATAGATATAACTGTTATACTCAATTTTGGACTTGTTCCTTTAGAATTTTGAACCTGAACATTCTCGGTTTCTTAGTGTTTTGGTTTGGTATGTTGTAAGTTTTGCTCCGGAAACCCGAAAATTGTAGGCTTGTAGCGAACTTACAATAATTACTGTTTGAACATTGGCTTTTGAGTTGATTACTTGTAATTTACGAACAAATTAGAATTCGGTTTTCTGGATATTTCGGTGGTGGGTGGTGAGTAGATCAATTTACCGCGCTTCAGTAACGGAATAGAGCAAACTTTAGACATAACGTACCTACCATTTGTTCACAGAATGAATACTGGTGTAG